TTCCGTCACTCTGTACTGTTGTCCATTCGCTGCATTGTTTATCTCACGTTTGGAGCATTTGTAAGAGTGGTTGCATTGTGATTTCTGTTAGAGTCAAGTAAAGATTTGGTATTTTTCAGTTGGTAAAGCAGTAGAGATCAGAAGCCCGAGTAGGGAATTTATTTAGAACTTTGCCTTCTGGTAAGTGTATGTAGTTCAATGGTTCCTTATATATCTGATATATTTCAAATCATATGTGTTTTATATTAGGGATGTTTGTCTGGATGGATAATTATTCTGATTGCACATAATGTTAATTTCTTGGGAACAAAGGAATTACAGGTCCTGGCAGTAATAATTTGATAAACCCTCATAGTAGATGACTATTTTTCTTTTGTATTAGACTGACTACATTCTTTTAGAAACTCCAAACCTGATTGAACTTTTTTCTGTACGTTGTCATTGACCTAGATTTTGCGTAGGTTCTTATCTCCTGCTAGTCAAATTGAATTTGACAGTTGTTCAAAATTTTGTTAGTACTCCCGATTTGAAGACATATTGTTATGTGAATTGGATGGTGAAGGGATAATGTGAAACATTGTACAGAAATATATACCAGAAAACATTTGTACCCTGTGCAATCCACTTTGATGCTTCTATTGTTTATTTTGTGATAAGAGAATAAATTGCTTTTGTTTACAACATGACCGTAGTGTATTCCTGCTTATATAATTGATGAACTTTGATTATGCATGATGGTACTTTTGTCATAATAACTTCAACTTGCTTAGTAAATCAAACAGTGTATGCAAGATGGCTGGTGTGAAACGAAGATTAGATACTGATTCAGATATTTGTGCTCTTAACAAAGAACTGGATGCCGTTTCATGCCCCATCTGCATGGACCATCCACATAATGCCGTTCTCCTGCTTTGTAGCTCGCATGATAAAGGTTGCAGATCTTATATATGTGATACAAGTTACAGGCATTCAAATTGCCTGGACCGTTTTAAAAAGTTGAGGGAAAATACTAGGAACAGTCGAACTCTACCCAGTCCTTTACCTATAAACCGTTATGGTCCTAGTATTACTTCTGATCTGAACATCCCTCTGAGAATAGACTCAAATGAAGCTAATGAAAGTCACAACCTGATTGAAAGCAATTCTGTATTATCTGTTAATTTACCTGGACCGCCACAACAACATGTTATTCAAGATTTAAATAGGCCTTTTGAAGCACAACAAGAAGGTGTTATGGAAATGGTTGATTCTGAGTCATTTCAGGAAAGGGCTGAACATGATGATTTGGATGGGGAAATTTCACCGGAGTCCCAATTGAGCTTGAAATGCCCTATGTGCCGTGGAGCCATTCTTGGATGGGAGGTTGTAGAAGATGCCAGAAAATATCTTAACCTGAAGAAGCGAAGTTGTTCTCGGGAATCATGCTCATTTTCTGGAAACTACCAGGAGTTGCGCCGGCATGCCAGGAGAGTTCACCCAACCACTAGACCCTCTGACATTGATCCGTCTAGAGAACGAGCCTGGCGACACCTTGAGCACCAGAGAGAATTTGGTGATGTTGCAAGTGCTATTCATTCAGCCATGCCAGGTGCTGTTGTGGTTGGGGACTATGTTATTGAAAATGGAGATAGGCTACCGGGTGGAGGGGAAAGTGCTGCAGGTGAAGCTAATGGGCCTTGGTGGACTACTCTGTTTTTGTTTCAGATGATTGGCTCAGCTGACCGTGCTGGGGAACCAAGGGCTCGATCGAGGGCTTGGACAAGACATCGGCGGTCAGCAGGTGCTTTAAATGAACGCCGGTTTCTTTGGGGTGAGAATTTGTTAGGTCTTCAGGATGATGACGATGATGACGATGATGAGGACGATGATGATGACAATATGCCTATGATTAATCACAGAGATTTGTCTCCAATCCCCAGAAGGCGTCGGCGTTTAACACGCTTGAGGTCTGATGAGGATCGACCATGAGAAGTGTCCTTTTAATCTGGTAAAAATTTACAGTTCCTTGACCAAAAATTGATATATACTGGATTTTTATATCAATTTGCCTTTGGTTGACTCCATTGGTGTCTTTGACAATTGTTCCAGTAACTGCAGAAAATCCCAGTCAGATGAGACTGCCTACTCCAAGAACTGCATCAGCTTGTTGGAACTTAGAAGAGTGTTGAAAAAGATCAAGCTGATCGTTGTGGGGCAATGGCGGTGCTAATTTGAAGGGGATTCTCTTAAGCCCGTGTTCTCTTTACCTGTGGGAGGAATGAGCCTGTGGTTCACGTCTAGCAGCCCTAATCCTCTATTTCAAGTAGGCAGAGGTTGCCAACAGAAGTTGAGCCACAACTCTTTCACTTTCTGGCCGACACGAGCCAAATGCTATTCCGTACTTGTATGATATGGTTATGAAGTCGATATCAGTTCTACTCTATGCTTGTTTATAAATAACATTAGACTTTGTTTGTATTAAAATGTAAATAGTTTATGCATCAATCAAATTTCAGGTTGAATAAAAGATTGAAATTTTCAAGCAAGCCGAGTGTGTGTGTTGGCAGAAGTTTGAAACTTGCCCAACTTCATGGTTATTCGTTTCGACTTTGTATTGTATGGAAAATGTTAAGCTTTTAATTCTCATTCAAAGATTGGCCGACGGGGAACGTAATCACCCGAGAGCGCGGCTAATTCTACGAAATGTCGTCCAAGACGAAGAATGACCCCCGTCAAAACCATCACAGGCGAAGGCTTCTCGTGTTCGTGTTGCTGAGCACATTGTGACAGCTTGTGAGAGAGCGTGGATGGTATTACAACCAAGAGAAGCAAGCAGAATTTGACATGAATGATAAAACAGTGACAGGATTAGTGAGAGCAACTTATTCCTTCCCAACAGTGAGCATTTCTGGGGAACCAAATATTAAGATATAAAAGAGCATGAGCCACGTCACTCTTCCTTGGCCTTCATCAAGAATGTGGTGTACAATGGAGTTCCCACAACCTCAGCCCTTGATTTTATTTGCTTCAATGGTGGAGATTGCTGTGAGTTGCAGATGCAGTTGCTGCCACAAGTTCAGGGGAGCTAACATATTCCATGAAACCCCAATGAAAATGAAAGGGCAGAGAAGGCTCAGACACAGACAAAAGCTCCACAAACAAGACCTCTAGGCCTATAACCGGTTCTATATTCTGCTCTCCTCATCTTTCACATTACGTAACTATTCACGTGATGTGAGAAATAGAGATAGAGAAATATACAACTGATTACACAGAAGAATCCCCAAGTTTAGTTTCTAGCCCCACGTGAAACACAAGAAGTTCTTGCAAGCACCAAGTATAACTGACGCAACCCTAAAATATCTCCTTCCCACATGCTCAACTCAAGCAACATGTAAATTCAATATTAACTTAGTTTTACGCATACGAACATAGTATGTGTGCGTATATGAATATAGATAACAGTAGTAGCCTTATTAATTATACAGCTCTAATCAGTTAGTAAGTTAGCACGATGCTATTCATTCATTTTCATTGACTTCCACTATGTAATTCTAGCATCCGAACTTTATTTCACAAAGACATTCGTCAAAATCGACAACCGTGACTTTTTGTTACCTCGAAATGTAGATGTATGTGTACGTGTGGAAATGGATAAAGAGCTGCCTGGAAATGCAGCCATGCCCAACTGGCCAAAATATTGTAAATGTTATGGAGTCTGGAAGACGGTGATGACCCTTTCTTCCTTAATTTGTAACATTTTTTTTAATATGCATTTCTAATGTGCCCCTTCTTTCTTTTGTTGATCTAATTTTAATCTTCAATATTAATGTGAATATGTACTCCGTTTTTGTGTCCTCTTGTTTGCAAGTCAAGTTGCAAGGTCCTGTATTCTAGCTCACAAATTATCTAATTAACCTTGCAATAATTCCCATGCCAACGAGCTTAATTTTTATCCCCACTTAAACTCAGTTTACTAGGGTAAATTAATATTTACAGAGGTAAATCTTGGACAAGTAAACTAATAGGTTTTTTAGCCAAAACAATTTCTAAGATTGGCATAACTACTCATTTTAATCCCTAACATTAAAAATCAATAGAAATGATTCTTAGTTTGTCCACCGTCAATCATTTTGGTCATTCCGTGAAAAACTTCCATTAAGTTGAGGATATTTTTTACCAATCATTCCCCTACTTGTTTTTCCATTTAATGGAGATTTTTCCGGAAATACCAAAATGATTGGCCGTAGACGAACTTGTGGACCACTTCTATTAATTTTTAATGTGAAAGACCAAGGTAAAGAGTTATGTCATTCTCAAAAACAATTTTAGCTAAAATGCTATGCAGACAAGGGGACCAATAAGAGTGATGAATCATGCAGGTAAAAAAAAAGCGTGTAAATATTTGTATATAGTAGCATTTTTGGATCAAAACTGATCTCTCTTGTAAACAAAGCAGCTTCTTCAATGGCTATTTAGAGCTAAAGTTGGACAAGAAAGGGAGGAGATTTCTAGTTCTACCAACAAGAAAGCAACAACTAATGGTAAGATATCAAACTCGATTTACTTAATCAGGGCAGTTTCGTTGATAATTGTCAATTTTAATAAGAAACTATTTAAGATAATAGTCGATTGCAATAACAGCTGGGTTCATGTTTTATTTTCCCTTCAAAATTATGTTTTAAGTGTTTTTTGGCTGTGAAACCGAGTTTTGACCATTAACATTAGGACATAGATTTTACTAACCTATTTATTAATTTATGAACTTTCCATCCTGATTTTCAGATCAAGAAGTTAAACCAAATTACGTAATCGTCTTTAGGCGCGGCAGCGTTGGTGTTTATCGAAAATCAAAAGGAGTTGAAGAAAGCAAATTGGGTAGCAAGAAGTTCAAGCCATTTACATTTCTACGTCAAAAAGATGTGGCAACGGCTTGCTTTTATAGCACTCTTCAGCTGAAGTGACCTAGTAGCGTAAACAGAAGGCAGGCAAGGCAGCATTGGATTCAATCTATGAAGATCATGAAGAAAGAAGATATTGCAAGAGGTCTGGGAATTAGTAGCACCAAGGCGGATTCGGCGAATGTAGGCAACAAGGTTTTACCGGTGACTGATTCAACGTTATCAACATCAACGAGCACAAATGCACAATGTGGCACGTCAGAGAAGAAAGAAACGCTTAAAGGGGACAGAACCAAAACCCTGTCAAGAATGAAGGAGCTTCTGAGATGGGCTGCTGCTTCAAAATCAGACAAGGGTGGAAAATACTTTCCTCGAAAGGTACGATTTTACTTTTTTGTTTGGTTAAACTTCATTGATAACCATTTTGTTTTTAGTTTTCGTTTTTTGTTTTTCTGATATTTTTTATTGGGTGGACGTGGACTAGACATATTGATACATATTCTGAGAGAAGCAGGTCCACAACGGTACTAGTTCTGCAGCCATACGTTGTTCTTGCGACCTTCTCTAGCCATTAATGTTCAAACTTACTACCACACATTGCAACTAGAGAATCTAGTAAAACTGTTACTGTGAATGTTTGTTACCTCCAGGTGGAAATCAAAGTTACATACTTTAACTGGTCCTAAATTATGCAGATATAGCATTACTTAACTCTATGTTTCTCATAACGTGCTCGTGGAGTCTTAAAAGTAACATCCACCCATCTATGATTGGTATCATTTATGGTTGAGACTTGAGTTATGTTGTCCATCCAGGTTATGCAATTTCAAAACCGGGCAACTCTGAAAGCGGTACCATATGATGATCAACTACGCAACGATTCACCGAAGATCAGGTTCAGATGGGATTTGGAGAGCTGCTCCACCTCATCCTCTGCCTATACAGCACTTTCAACAGCATCTTCACTCAAGAATGATCAGATCATAAGCCTTCCATCTTTGAATTCGACAAAATTTCAACACCTGGATGACTTGGAGCCCAGGAAAGGGAACTGGATCACCTCAAACTCAGAATGTATAGTTTCTGCTTAATCATTTCTTTTTTGTTAATTACTTGAATTTTAAATTTAAATTGCTAGTACTCTATATATTCAACTAATTATGTTTTTGCTTGAACAGTTGTGGTGCTAGAGCTATGAAAATCAAATCGAAGAATCATATTCATCCGCAACCGAATCGATCAACTGCTTAGTGATTGTATCATAATTAATGATTATATTTTGTGAGAGATTAAGATTGAAACGACAAATCAATGCAAGGAAAAGGACCAACTGCTTAGTCTTCCATGTAAATACTAATTCAGCATATACAAGTGGACCTCGAATATCATTTTTTTTCTATCATGCCCCAAAGTCTTTGTCACGTGTGTAGATATCAAATTTCGGTGAAAGCGAGATTTTAAAGGAATTAACTTGGCTGCTGAAAATTTCAGCATCATTCCTACTTACAACCAATCCTGTGTGGACACGTGTCCAACTTTTGATTTTAAAATCAAAAGTTGGATACGTGTCCACACAGGATTGGGTGTAAGTAGGAGTGGCTGCTGAAATTTCAGCAGCCAAGTCTTGTTCGATTTTAAATTGCACAATTGTGTGGCTCAATTATGTTGGTCTTGCAAACTCTTCCCCACATGAGATTGAGGAAGCTTATTTCTCCATGAACTTACTTGATTTGAAGTGTTGCCCAAAATCAATTAAAAGTTTCCACAAACATTTTCATAACATTTTTAGAAATAATTCGCCATTGATATATTCTTAAGTTTTGTACAAATCGAGAAAATACAACTAATATTGTTACAGTTGATAAGTACATAGAAGGATGTCGCTAACTTAAAGTTAAAACATAATCTTGTACAAAATAATTGGTTGGTTAAGACAGCTTAAGATAAACTACATTATTAATTCGCCAGCTTAACATTACGATTTGGAAGATGATAGAGATATTACCTAATACCAAGATTACGCAAAGATTTCGTTTCTAATCCAAATCGGGAGAAATTCTATCATGCTGCTGTAACCGGAAACACACTCACAAAGAATGGGATTACCCCGCACTCCCACATTCCCACACTCACAAGAGTGTGGAGTCTCGCTTAGCTCCCACAGAAGAATTTCTCCTAAAAGAGACATTGAAGAACTTTTTTTTTTTTTTTTTTACCAAACTCTATATCTACACTAAGGGAAAATAGGTGAGTTAACCTCATAATGGGCTAGCAATAATATGGTTCAAATTCGCCTTTGGCGAGAATCGAACTTAAGACTTCTCACTTACAAATGAAGAGGAATACCACTAGACCGTAATACTAAATGGTTAGACCTTGAAGAACTTGAAACAAAGAGTTTATCCGGGTAGTGTGACTATTGGATATTGGGCCACGGGCTCGTAGTCGAGAGTTTTGGTTTAGGCCAACGCTTAAGTAATTTGGCTATTGAATGACAACCACAATTACCACACCCTTATTTATTTTTAACATTTTATTTCTGATTATCATATTCAACAAAACAAACTTAAACAAGGAGCAAAATTAAAAAGAAACGTGTAAGACTAACTTCAACTCTTGGAGTAAGTCCTAAAATTTTCCTTCTATTCCCCCCTAAGTCTAAATTTCCTTCTATTCCCCCCCTATTGAATAATAACCACAATTACCACACCCTTATTTATTTTTAACATTTTATTTCTGATTATCAGATTCAACAAAACAAACTTAAACAAGGAGCAAAATTAAAAAGAAATGTGTAAGACTAACTTCAACTCTTGGAGTAAGTCCTAAAATTTTCCTTCTATTCCCCCCCCCCCCCAACCCCCAAAACCCCCAACAATTTCTTTCCAACCCTTGTGCTAAAATTGGGTTATGTTAGAACTCAAAAAATAAATAAAAAATAAAAATAAATAAATTCCCACTCAGCCAAGATTTAGCCCAAAATTAATTGTGGAGCCCACATGTGAGAGTAGAACAAAGGAATGAACTGGACCCACCAACCTAGACGCGTGCTAGGCTGGCTCAAGCTTCTTGGCCCATCCACGTGGCACTATCTCCCACTTGTTTGCTGGGAATTATGAGCCTAACGGCTCTTTTTCTGATCGTGCGGCCACAATCAATTGAGTCGTTGGTTGATTTAATGGTCCACATTCAAATCTTTTGTTTAGTTTTATATTTATATATGTATTAAATCCAACGGCTGAGATCAAATATAATCAAATTTAATGGTAAAAAAAAAAATCTAACAGCCCAAATTTAAATCCAACGGCTAAAATAATTAAAAAATTATTTAACTTAAAATTCTTTAAATCATTTTAAAAATATTTTCAAACGATCTTGCATATTAAATGAATATGTGTATTATAAACAAATTCCAGATTTTTAGGTGTATATTTTCCTGCTGCTGGACCAGTTCAAGATTCTAGAAAAACACCCAGGCCATTGGGATAATGACCAACCAAGTATGCTTCAAAATTTTGGGAAATAATATATCACTTTTCTTTGCTTCAAAGTCTTGAATATGATGTGTCACTTTTCTTGCTTCAAAGCCCTGAAAATGATGTCACTTTTCTTTGTTAAGTCGGTGGAAAATAGCCTATGGCGCTTTAGTGTATCCACGGAAAACAATTATATTTAGGCACTCTAGTCCTAGTTTGTTTATCACATATTCTTCACCCTTCTAATAACTAATTATTAAACTCATTAACGTTATCTCTCTAAAAATTGTGGAAAATAATCTCAAACGTTTGACCCAATTTAATTCTAATTCAGTTCTCTAATTATTGTGATTACTTGAACTAACCTCAATAACTTAACTTTTAACTTCACTTGAGTTTCAATTGAGCTTCGGTTGAATCTATTTTAGAGTCTACTTGAGAATACTTATGTAGTAGAAGTGTTTTTATTAAAAGCAACAGTAAGATATTTATTAACAATTCAAGTGTTTTCTAACAACTAACATGAAGGCGCTTTCTAGAAAAGCACTTCAAAGTGCTTTTTATTACATAAAAGTGTTTTTATGACCGGTTTTTCAATGTGCCAGAATATGGAGTAGTACACCACATGTAATTATACAAGTAAAGAAAAGTTTCATTTTTCATGTATTCTTTTGTTTGTATAATAACATATAGTGTACTACCCACTATCCTATATTTCGAACACATTAAAAAATCTCTCAAGAATTAGGCGAATCTGCTTTTCAAACCACCAAAATTGGACCCATTACTCATTTGGTAATTTAGTCCCACAGGATAATTTTCTTGTACTTGTGATTTCTTGAGTGCAATACTAAAATCTGTAAGCTAGGAGTAGCTAAGATTTCGTCTCCTTTCCAATTTCCATTAACAACAAAAACAAAAGAACAAAAGTTGGTTTTCCCATTTTTCAAACAACAATTACGTTCCATTTCGTGCATCTAAGTAGGTTATAATTTTTAGATTCACTAATTTCACTGCAAACAATCTACTCCAAACCAAAAGAATAAGTATGAAACAAGCTGTACAAACAACCACATTTTAGTAATATAAGGTATTTAATTTAGGAAAATACCTACAAATAGGACAATTTCTTAATTTTGGATAGAAATATGATATTTCAATATGCACACGCATGCACACGACATGCACAACAATCGAACATAAATAGGATTTACCTACACCTTGAAATGACTTAATTGTTTTCGTATATAAATGAGTTATTTCCTCTGATTTTCTTATTTTCTCTCTCTACTTTCTCTCTCTCTCTCTTTCCCTCTTCTCTCACTTTCTCCCTCATGCACTCTCTTCCCTTCTCACTGTGCACACATAGTGCATAGTCATCCCAACCAATATCGTCCAAATCGAAGCCACCACTAGTTTCATCTCGTCCTCACGAGTCGAAAACACCTAGCCTAGTCACGAATCTCATCCCTGATTGTTGGGATCAAAACTCAAGCAAGCCACGAGTTTTTCGGCAACACAGCAAATAATCGAGGCTCAGGACTAGGGTTGGGCAAATGAGTAGAGGAATCGCAGGTTGAGGTAGGTAATCACAGTTCGGGGCAGGTACGGGCCGGTTCCTAATATTTTAGAGAACAAATAGGGCAGGCTGGGCCAGGCCCTTTTCATTTATAGGGTCGGCCAAGTCCAGATACTTAGAAAAACGGGTACTCGACTGACCCGTTTCTAATTATAATGAACGATCGAGATTGAATGATAACCTATCATCCAATCTCAACCTTTGGTTTCAACCCTAGTGAATTCCTCCCGAGTTCCAAAATTAGACTCTTAAACCTTTTCCCTCAGTCCCTCGACTCCCTCGTCTTCAACTCTTAAATTCTCAATCGTCTTCTCCTCCTCACAGTGCCCACTCGCCTCACTTTACTGATGTTGTTGCTCAGCCCCGCCACCACTTCACCGAAGCCTTTTTACTCTTCAAGCAATCTTAGATTTGTAGTGCCGGTAAAGTTTTTCGTTCGATACCACGTCTCAGATGCTGAGTCAAAGATTTGGATGAGCAAGTCCGGGCACCGACTCCCTTCTTTCGACGACTTTGGCGCCATCGCAAGGCCTCGCGCTCCTGGCATCTAACAATGATGTTTTCATGGAGGAAGACTTTGTAAGTATTTTGAGGATCGACGAGAGTAGAAAGCATGGCCAAGCCTCAAAAGCCAGCCAATTAGGGTAATTCCTTTTCCATTTTCTTTAATTTATGTGTAATGCTTGCTGTTGCCAAGAAATTGAGACTTAGAGTTCTGATTTTCTTTAATTCTGTGTAATTTCAGTGTACGATTTAACTGATTCGATTTGCCGATTTGGTTATTTGTGAGATTGATTGCTTGTAGTTTTGTGTGTAAGAGTAATGGGTTCTGTTAGAAACTATGGATCTGAGATTTCATGGTTTGTTTATTTCGGGACATGCATGGAAGAATCGTTAACATGTGCGGAGTATATACATTGATTTGGTTGTGTTTAAACGCATGTAGTGGAGAAATGTTTGTAGGATTTGTTTTTCTGTGTTATGAGTAGTGCAAATGAGTGTCTAAAATGGTTGGTTTTGCTTCTGCTTCTGCTCAACAGATCGGTACCGTTCCCAAACTGAAAAAAGAAGAAGAAGTAATTAGACCCGTTGACCCGTCCCGAACTGGCCGGTTTGAAACGGGTCAGATTAGGTCTGGTTCCC